AGCTTTCCTCACTTTACAGAGCAGGGAACAGAATATCTGGTGCTGGTACTGAGTAATGAGGGGCCACAATTTTAAGGTGAAAGGCAGGAGGTTTAGAGGGGTTTGAGAATCTGGAAAACACTGGGCAGCAGAGGTAGGAAACCGCAAAACCTTTACAAAGGATGTTAAAATGTCATAACATTCAAGGCTATGGGCCAAGTGCTAGAAAGTGGAATTATTGTAGATAGGGTGGTACAGACTCAATGGGCTGAAGGGCCTCTTCTGGTGCAGTAGGACTCTGTAACAGTTTATCTAGAATTGTTTTAAGAAGGTTTTTGAAAGCAGAGAGGGAGGACCGTTTAGGAAGAAAGATGCAAAGAATGAAGGAATAGTGTTAGAAAGAATAGCTGTCAGTGAGAGATCAGAGGGTGTGGGGAGAAAGGAGTAAGATGGTGCCTGAGAAAGATTGAACATGGAGCTATGACAGGAAGGGGAGTTATTGGGATAAGGTGAACAGGCAATGGAAGGCTTTGAAAATTCCAATTTTAAATTAGAAAGATTAAGGACATCCAGAACTCACTTCCCAAATTAAGATTGGAAAGTTGAACTGCAAATTTCAAATCTGAGATTGTCAGGATTTCTTTTGGCCAGTTTACTTTGGAGTTGCAAATCCAAGGCAGGCTGTGGAGTTCAGATACAAAGCAGCCACAATCTAATGGAATGACACAACAGCTCAAGGGGCTGAATGGTCTCCTCCTATTTCTATGAAGCGTGAAAATCTTGAGCCAGTGTGGCACTATAAGGACTGTGGTGATGGGATGTGGAGGATTTAGCATGAGCCATGAATTATGAATGATCTTGGCTGTAAACTGTGAAATGTAGATTTGGGGATTCCACCGAGGAGTGTACTGAGGAAACCAGATTCAGTGAGATCTCAGTTGCAATGAGGAAGTGTAGGCTTGGAGGGAATCAATATCCAGGAGGCAGAAGGAAAACCAGGGAGCATATTGGACAAGGTAGTGATTACTCCCTGGGGCACTGGTCAATGGGTAAACTAACAATGTAGGAGCAATGGCCTCTCCCTATGGCATTGTGGTATCATACAAGCTGCGAAACATTGTGCAGCACTTTATTAATAAAGCATACCATCCCCACAGTGTCAGCCATAACATCAGATGCTTCACTATCCCATGAATCTGAAAATGACAATTGACAAATGTAACAGGAAGTATAAAAGGTGGGGATGTAGGACTAGGTGAATTGTTGTACAGAGAGGGCACAACTGTTCTCTTTCTGTGCTGTAAACATACCAACATTCTATGTTTTCTTTATCTGAAGTGTGCAAGCGCTGTAGTGCACTTCTAAACATTTTCTCTAAATATTGCTCTGGTGTAAATGAAGCTGTGCTTGTGTTAAATTTGGATGCAGAACATTTGAGATCACTACCTGAAAATGGCAGTCAGTGGGGAAAGTTTATCGAGCTGGTTAAACGTTGATGGTTAGATGGAGCATTTGTTTGGTAATTTACTCACATTTATTGTGTTTATTTCGTGCGTCAAGCTCTTTCCAGCCATTTAGATGTTATTTTTGTCTCCTACTATTCTGGGATCATCCCTCCCAATCATCAGTTGACCCCAGGCCTCTGCTTAAGGTGCGATGGAGCCCAGTCTAGAGGCACGATGAGAAAATACTGCTTCCTGAGGTCCCTTAGCACTTGGTGAGAAATGACCTCACATTGAGACATTGCAGAATGCCTCCCCACAGTAAAATTGGGATTAAATGGAAGCAACAGGCTGTTTGAATCAACAATTTATTTGGTGCAATTTCTTTCTTCTCAATGAAGTGCAGCAATCGAGTTTCTATGGTTACACTGGAATGTTGCCCAAACGCTACACACAAGGGGTGATGACAGGTGAAAGTGAGTACTTTACTTATTTTAAACAATTCCAGTTGATGGTTTTTAACAGAATTCCAAATACTGATTAAAAAAAAAAATTCTTTCTGGAAAAGTGTCTCATCAACGGTTTTAATGCCAATGATACCATATTTCTCATTTAAATACAGCTAAGTGTAAAACGTCCTGGGAAATAACTAATTTCTGCTACCATCTGTTGGAGTTGCCAACTCTATCGGACCATTCCTGGAAGTTTATGGTGAGCTTCCACCTCTGACCATCTTTTTGCAGTCAAACAATCTTTTCCCAACAGTCTCCAACATTTTTATAACAAGGAAAAATACACAAAAAAAAGTGTACAAATTTGCTCCATAACTGTTCATAACGGAATCGGGAGATATACTGTCAATTCCTTGAAACTCCAGAGCAATCCTGGAGAGTTGGCAACACTGTTGTCTGTTTCATTTGACCTGTTGTAATCTAAAGTCGGGCTGAGTTTTATCTGTCAGGTCACATCAATTCATTTTCAGCTTGGAATGGAGGTTCAGCTCAAAGGTGAGTTTGGCTTCATAATGCACAAAGCCAAAAGCAAAATTTCACTCTGTCTTATTAACACATTCATGATTTGTCATGACTGGGAAGGAATTATCCTCAAAAGGGCACGTTTATTGGAGAAGCAGATTTCCCAGTATGATGAATGCCATTTCTCCCAGCGGGGCATTAATTTCGAAGCTCAGTCTTTGCAGAGTGAGCACCATTTGGAAAGTGATGCTTGTCCTCAGTGACCTGGGCTGGCCAAAGGAATCAGCTGCTGATGCTCCTGTTTGGGCATTCTGCCCAGTTACCCTTGCTGTATATGTGGGCAGGATTGGGCTCAGCCATGAATCCCTCATTGTTAAGCAAGCCTATTGTTATGATCCCAGATGATGGCAGTATTGGAGACATTAGATCTCTGAAGTGAACAAAAACAAAGTTGCTAGAAAAGCTCAGCAGGTCTGGCAGCATCTGTGAAGGAAAATACAGAGTTAACGTTTCGGGTCTGGTGACCCTTCCTCAGAATTTCTCTGAAGTGAAATCTGGCTTGATAGATCAGAGGGTTTTTTTAAAAATTTTTGTTTATGATGGTCTGCTATTGAAGATATTCACAGAGATTGCCAAAATATCTTTATATAACATAAATAACATAAATGTTTATTACACAAAGAAAACACATTTGATGACTATTGAACCAGCCTCATTACAAATATTGGAAAGAAACTAACCATAACCTTATGGACACTCAAATCTCAGTGACAAGATACCACTGTCACCTCACTAAAGCTAAGGACCTTCAGGTGGAGCAGCTATAATTGGTTTCCTTTTGGTAGACTTTTTTGTATTCACTTGATGTTATTTTCTTCGTTTCATGTCTGCCCTTTAAAATAAACTGCTAACTTAGCCCACTTATGGCTTTGCATGGGTTATTGGACTCATGCTTTGTGGAATGTCTTTCTCTACGACACCTTCACAGTCTTCCGTTACTGGAGATTTCTTCCCCCTGACTTCTAAAGTAACTCAGGACTACAGAGACTGCTACCAACAGCACTTCTGCGGTTGTGTATTGCTTCTGTCTGAACAAACCAGCTTCTGGCCTCTTGTTCTCTCTTTTTGGGCTGTAAAACTCAAATCAGCAAATACCACAATGTTGATCTTGTAGGGTGTCATTTAGTGAAAATTAAAACTTCTTGGAAATGCTGTTCTGAACTCACTGCTCAAAGTAATTTTCTGACCTAAAGCAAAAGTTAGACCTTCACAAAACTGTAAATGAAAATCTGCTTTTCCTCCACTTTAGATTCAAAGTCCTTAAGTAACAACATATTATGAACCTTCACCACTTCACGTGTAAAGAATAGGTTTTTGGCCAAGGTGCAGGAGAACCAGTGGTGCCCACAGAACCATTTGCAGTAGGAATGAACATTTCTTACAACTCAGTTTCTGAAGTTAGCTGATGAATTATTCCTAGCCTCTTCCTTGAACTGACTGTTGGCTTGTAAGACTCTGTAGTCTTTGAATCTTCCAGCTTGCTATACAATTTCAGCATTATTTTCTTTAAGATGTACTCTTATAGATGCTTATACAGAATTGTTCCTCCACATCTTTTGTAGCAAATTAGTGCCAGTGTAATACCTGTCAATTAGATTCAGTCTAACCAATCTGATTCTGCAGTGCAATGTGGAATGTGCTGAGGTGTGGGACTAACTTTTTCAAAAAGTTAGCATGGGCATGATGGGTTGAATGGCCTGTGGCATCATATAAGTCTATTGCCTTTGCTTTCATCCTTGATCATTCTACTTACTCTGCAATGGTTGAATGTTTACATATGGTTATATAGGATATACAGCGCAGAAATAGGCCATTCAGCCCCAAAGCCCACACTGGCATTTATGTTCAGCTTGAGCCTCGTCCCATCTTTTCCGACTGCAATCAACTATTTCAGACATTCTGTTCTCCCTCATATTTACCTTGAATCCCCTTCAATGCATCTATTAAGTTCAACCACTCCCTGTCATGACCAGTTTCAAATTCTCACCACCCTGCCTAAAGAAGTTTGTTCCGAATTCCCTGTTGGAATTCTTGGTGACTGTTTTAAAACTGATGACTTCTAGTTATGCTCTTCCCCACAGGAGGAAACATTTTCTCGGGATCAACTACATCAAAACTTTGCATCGTTTTGAAAATCAACATTAGGTCACCCCTCAGCTATCTTGTATCAAGAGAAAACAGACCTTTCCAACGCACATATTTTTGGTATATTTGTAAATCTTTTCTGCAGCTTTCCGGAGTGCCTCGATATCCTTTATAAAATATGCGGGCCAGAACTAGACGCAGTAGCTTAAGTGCAGTCTAATCAATGTTTGTTGCAGGTTTAGCTTGACTTCCCTGCTTTTCAATTTTCTCTAATATTTTGAATGTTGAATTACTGACACCATAATTAATTAGAAGGAGGGAGGGGTGGGGTGGTGGGCGGGAAGATCCTCCTATGGGAGATTGTTGGTTTTCACTGTCAATAATAAACACAGTGAGCTTCTTTTCTCCATTGCAGGCACTGCTGGTGTCATCATTTCCCTCAGCAGAATCTTTACCAAGCTCCTGGTTTCTGATGAAAGGAAGAACACCATTGCCTTCTTCTTCATTTCGATCGGAATGGAGAGCATGTGCTTCATCTTGCATTTGCTGGTGAAAAGAACGCAGTTTGTGCGATACTATACCTCCCACAGCAGCAGGGGCCACGAGCGACTAAAGGACAAAGGTCATGTGGATCAGGGCCCTGGTTACCGGGTCCATCATAATGTCAATACAGAGGAAGTAAGATTCGTAAGTTTTTGCTTCATATTGTAAGAATGGAACTCTTGGCCTAGCGTGATATAGGGGATATCTCTCTCAGGGACACTGGACACTGGCTCCCATGATTTGCAAGCTTTTTCTGTTTCAATCATCTTCCAAACACGCCCTTTCAGGTTGGAGGAAACATGGCTGCCTTCATGAAAGATTGCCTGATTAATCTGTTCCCTGGACAGAAGAGAGGTCCATGACTTTCTTGATACACAGGTCTTGTCTTTGGTTGGAAAATAATTGATGTTGTGGCACTTACTGGCAGTAAAGAACCTAGTGGAAGTTTCACTACATTTCTTCAGTGAAGTAAATTCAATGATTCACTATGTGGCTGAGACCAGACCAATGCATTTGGTTCAGTCATGGGAAAGTGGTGTAACAAGATATGAGCTGACTTTTAAATGGGATGCACACTTTGGGAGTAATAGGTTAATCTTGGGGTGGTGATATGATACCTTTTGGGATTGCTAGGGAGGCTGCAGATTGAGGCAGGGGAATGTAAGCACTAGACATTATTAGAGAGAAGTTCAACAAAGTTTACATGTAACATTAATCTTATCCAAGATTTCACCTTTGACTGTCCAATGTAGAAACATTTGATACAATTTTGTATTATTGTTTTGATATGGGTGATTCAGTCAGATACTAGGGAAATGGCCAATTTATATTCATTCTATCCTTGTAAATAAAAAAAATGACAAGAGTTCACCACACTTATGCTTTTAACAGGATTAAAAAAAATTGTTTTGTTTTTGTCCTCCGCTTTCTACAGCATTAAACTGATGAAAAATTTAGACCGGGTAAATAAAGATAAATTGTTTCCATTAGCGGAAGGGTTGATAACCCAAGGACACAGAGCTGAGGTGATTGATGAGAAAGCTAGAGGCAACATTAGGAAAAACCTGCTTGAACAATAATTTGGTTAAGATGTGCACTGCCTCACAAGATGATGGGAATAGACTAACACCTTTCTAAGGAGATTCAAATTTTATTTGAAGAAGAAGAAATTCCAGGACTTTGGGAAGAACCGGGGGATGTGGGACCAAGTGGAGTGGTCTTCAAAAGAGCCCCCACAGACTCAATGGGCTGAATGGCTTGCTTCCATTTTAAACTACTCCATTATTCTGTGACTCTTGAACGTTTCTCTTTAGCTTTCTAAGTCTAAACCAGCAACCTTCTTAAAGGAGACCCGTCTATCCCCTGCCTTGCTTTGGCCAAACTAGCCCCAAAACTGTTCTATCTTTAGGAGAAATACAACATGCTGGAAACCATCAGCAGTTCAAATGGTGTCTATGGAGGGAGAAACAAAGTTCTGCTCAATGAATTCTCATCCAAACTTTCTTGACCTCCATCTCTTTTGTTCCCAGGGGTTTGTAACTGCTAATTAAACAGGCTGCCACCAACCCCAAGTGGCCAAAGACTGAATCATGGCATGCATAAATAACTTCAGTTCCCCTCAAAATAACATTTAAACACCTAACCGGGAGTAATTGAATGGAGATGGTGAATCCCTTATTGCCCCAAAAGCATATTACTGTGATTGCGTAAAGAAATGATTGCTGGATTAAATAAATATTTAGCAGATCAATCTGTGGAGAGAGTAAGAGTTTATTGCTTGAAATTCTGTGGAGATTGAAAGAGTCTCTTAGCTAAGCTGGTGCTGTAGGTCCAACCAGAGGGAAACTGGCCATGGATTTTGCTTTGCAAAGGAAGCAGTATCCATTTTAAAGTGCAGCTGGCTGCAGTCAGATCCAGTTTCACCAGTGGGATGTCCACATGACATGTATATTTCTGAACCGTCAGTAGAAGGTATGAATTTACTGGAGTCCCGTTTGGAGAGGTAGGGCCTGATGATGTACTGTTTTGGATATGGTCTAGGTACAGCCTTGGGAGAAGTCAGGTCCGCACGGGGATTTACAGTAACCTTGCGGAGTGACACCTTTTGGGATTGCCAAACATACAAAGAACAATACAGCACAGGTACAGGCCCTTTAGCCCTCTAAGCCTATGCCAACACTTTTGCCCTTCCATACTAAAACTGCCTTCACCTACAGGATCTATAATCCCTCTATTCCCTTCCTAGTAATGTATTCATCCAGGTGCTTCTTGAATGCTGCAAATGTGTCTGCATCCACCACCTCCTCTCGCAGTGTGTTCCAGGCATTCACCATGCTTTGTGTGAAAAACTTGCCTTACACATCTCTTTTAAACTTCCCAACACCCTGCACACCTTGAACCTGTATCTCTTAGTAATTGACTCCTCCACCCTGGGAAAAAGCCTCATACTTTCCACTCTATCCATACCATTCACAATCTTATAAACTTCTATCAGGTCGTCCCTCAACCTCCTGCATTCCAGTGAAAACAAACCCAGTCTATCCTATCTTTGTTCATAGCTAAAATCCCCATACCAGGCAACATCCTGGTAAACCTTTCCTGTACCCTCTCCAAAGCATCCACATCCTTCTGGTAGTGTGATGACCAGAATTGTATGCAATATTCCAAATTTGGCCTAACTGAAATTCTATAAAGCTGCAGCATAACTTGTCTATCCTTATACTCAATGCCCCTTCCAATGAAGGCAAGCATGCCATCGGCCTTTTTTACTACCTTATCTACCTGCGCTGCCACCTTCAGTGATCTGTGGACCTACACATCCAGATCTGTCTGCACATCAATACTCCTAAGGGTTCTGCCATTCACTGTATAATTTCTACCTGTGCTTGACCTTCCAAAATGCATCCCCTCACATTTTTCTGGATTAAACTCCATCTGCCATTTTTCTGCCCATGCCTCCAACTGATCTATATCCTGTTGTATCTTCTGATAATCCTCCTCACTGTCTACAACTCCACCAATCTTTGTATCATCCGTACTAACTAACATACTAATTAGACCAGCTACGCTTTCCTTCACATCATTTATGTAGATCACAAACAGTAGAGGTCCCAGCACTGATCCCTGTGGAACACCACTAGTCACAGCCCTCCATTCTGAAAAGCATCCTTCCACCACTACCCTCTGTCTCCTATGACTAAACCACTTCTGTATCCATCTTGCCAGCTCACCCCTGATACCATGTGACTTCATCTTGTGTACAAGTCTGCCATGAGGGACCTTGTCAAAGGCTTTACTGAAGTCCATGGAGACAACATCCACTGCTTTTCCCTCATCAATCATCTTCAGCACCTCCTCAAAAAAACTCAATTAAGTTAGTGAAGCACAACCTTCCCTGCACAAAACCATGCTGTCTATTGCTAATAAGTCTATTTGTTTCGAAATGCTTATAGATCTTGTCCCTGAGAATCTTTTCCAATAATTTTCCTACCACTTTTGTGAAACTCACAGGCCTATAATTACTAGAATTATCCCTGCTATCCATCTTAAACAATGGGACAACATTCATTATTCTCCCGTTTCCTGGAACCTCACCTGTGGCCAAAGAGGACAAAGATGTCTGTCAATGCTCCACCAATTTGTACTCTTGACTCCCTCAATATTCTGGGATAGATTCCATTAAGACCCGGGGACTTATCTACCTTAATACTTTTTAAGATGCACAACACCTCTCCCATTTTAGTAGCAACTTGGCTTAGAGATTCGACACTCCCTTCCCTGAGATCATCCTCCACCAATTCATTCTCTTTGGTGAATACCAACACAAAGTATTTATTTAGGACCTCACCTACCTCTTCTGGCTCCACACATAGATTCCCTTCTTTCTCCTTGAGTGGGCCAACCTTTTCCCTGGCTACCCTCTTGCTTTTTGTGTGTACAAAAGCCTTGTGATTCTTCTTAATCCTATTTGCTAACAACTTTTCACAACCCCTTTTAGCCCTTCTAATTCCTTGTTTAAGTTCTTCCCTACTTTCCTCATATACTTCAAGAGCTTTGTCAGTTCCCATCCTCCCAGACCTTACACATGCTTCCTTTTTCTTTTTGACAAGGTCATAATATCCCTGGTCATCCAAGGTTCATGTAACTTGCCATATGTATCCTTCATTCTTGCAGGAAAGTGCCTTCCTTCAACTCTTATCAACTGCTGTTTGAAATACTCCTACATGTCCGATGTGGATTTACCCTCAACCAGCCGCCTCCAAGCAACATTCCCCAGTTCCTGCCTCATATTGTTATAGTTCGCCTTCCCCCAATTTAACATATTCACCCAAGGACTGCTGTTATCCCTATCCATGGGTATCTTAAAACTCACTGTAT